CATTCCTTATCGAGGTACCTGTGGTAGACACACATACTATTATGAGATATATGACTTATTTTAATCATTTAGGAGGTGTGCACACTTAGGAAGTGGAGTAGTATGAAAAAGGTTTGAAAATTCCCTATTTTATGAGATGTACTGATGCTAAGTTTTGGGATCATCAAAGAATAGCTATCACATCACCGTCTTATAATGAGAGAAATATAACTTTAGTAATGACTTCATTAATTTCGGTGGTTATAAAAAAAGTTTTTTTATGCTAACACTTTGTGTGATATTTAAGAGTCACATCATGTTTATCCTTGTGGAACGTTGTGAATCAAAGATTTTGTTCTTGTGCTCCTCCCATTTGCTCTCAAGAATTCATCGTTACTTTGGCTTTGCTCTGATGGGAAAGTTTTCCAAGGAGAACATGAATGTCCCAGAGGATCAATCACATGTGATTATTCAAGAAAGGTTAAAGAAGGGGAGATGTTCTAAAGTTTATATGGTTCAAAGAGAAGGTTGGCGATGCAAAGAGTTCAAAGCATGTTGAGATGAAAGAGTTGTCAGGCAGTTCGAGGGGAAGCATTTTGATTTTAGCTCCTACGAAACGATCTACCTTGAATTAAAAAAATTCAAACTTTAGGTTTTGAATTACTTGAGAGAAACTAATGTTTAAGTTTGAGAAAGTTTGATGTGAGTAAAATGTATTTCCATGTTTATGTTTTAAATTTACAATTCTTGTGTCATTTTTACATTTTTCTGGGGTACATATAGTGTTATATGTAGTCTACTAGGAGAATATAAGACTTGGAATAATTAGTGCATAACATGGACTAAATCCACAACCAAGCACCCTGAAGCAAATACCTAGCACCTCAAGCTTGGTGCAAGTTGTGTACACTCAAAATCTAGAGAAAACATCCCAATGTCAGGTCTTAAGCTTTCGAGCTCCTAAGTACAAGACCTCACAAAAAGGCATCATCACCTAGTAAAGCTTATCCTAAATAAGAAAATAGAGAGCAAGACACTCCGGGCCAGAACCCAAGCGTCTACGTGCCCAGTATCAACGCCACCACTTTACAATGTTAGCATCTATACGCTTGAAGCCCTAAATTGAAAATTTTGATTCACGAAAGCCAGCACCACTATGCCTTTACCAGCACCCTGGTTTGGTATTGTGAAGTGATTGAAATATATATTAATGTATGGATTCTACTTTAAGCATCACATAATGTTAAAATAAATTCTAAAATGGTTATTGCCACTATGAAAATAGCTTTATAACAGTATAATAGTTGAAAAAGAAAGTTATAAAAGCTATAAAATTAGCCAAAATAAATAATAGAAATTTATTCATACAAATATAAAGCCAAAAAGTATGATTTATTAAGAAAAAAATCGTGGGACAATTTTTTTTTCTATTGAAAAAAAAATTAGAATAAAAAAATAGACTTTTTGAGAAATGAAAAAGCTAAAGGTATTTCATAATTTAAATTTAGCATAAATAAAGGATATCCAAAGCATGTTGAGGAAACAAGTTGATGAATAAGGGAAGAAAAGGGAAACGGTAGGGGTCAAAATGCAGATTTTGGTCAACGGGTGGACAAAATGACTACCAATAATCTAACTTTTAGAATGCCATCATAATTTTTGTAGATAGATCATTGGTTTAAGCATTGAGTGGTAAATATTTTTCAATTTTTCATCAATAATATTAATTCATTGAAAGTCACCAACCCATCATAATTTTTTTATGGAAATGTATAGGTAGGAAGAATTTGCTAGATATTACTCATCATTTTGGTGGTGTCAACATCAAACACTGGCATCGACAAACATTGATGCTTGATGTTAACCAATTCAAAATGTGCTATCAAATAATGATGATGCCTAGAACAACATTGGCATTCACCATAATAAAAGACATTATTTGTCCTTTTATCATTTCCAATGCATAAAATGTCCAACGTTGACCAATTTTCGACATTTAATAGTAGCCTTTGTTATCGTCTAGGCTCCCCTTTTAAAGAAGATAAAATAATTTCATCAACTTAATGTTGCTTAACCTCTAATGTGCTCCATCAACAATTTCTTGATGCATTCTAGTTATTAAATGAGCCCCTGTTTTTTGCTTACCATTCTTTCACCATGAAAAAAAAAAAAAAATTTGTGTAGTCCCATGACCATCAAGTGATAATTAGCATTTACAATTGAACATTTTCTTGTGCTTCACAAAGTTATATATGTTATACACTAAAGATTAACACCTAATGTTTTAACAATGTTTCCTCTTAGAAGGTTAACGATTGTGCAAATAATATTTAATCTATTATTTTTTCTCTATATGCAGCTGCATCTTAGCCTTGCACGTAGCATGACATTAATTTTATCATGATTAGACCTTTGAATTCTCAAGAGTACCTCTTTATCCTTGCTAATGCATTTTGACCCTCATAGATTCTACTTGTTTTGGATTAATCCACTTTAAAATATTATTAATCTACCTCTTTTTCATGATAAGGAGGCCACAAATATGCTAAAGGTAGCATTTAGTATCACTTCAGTATTTTCTCTATCCAGAGAACCTATTTCTATCTCCAAGGGACCTCATAACTATCATGTGAAAATTAGAGTCTCAATACCTAAATTATTATTGCATAATCATGTTAATAACCTCGTTAATATCATCACAATTTCTTGTATCTTGCGAGTATAAGTGACAACCAACATCAAAATATCATAACTTCAAGATAATGATTGAAATCTCAACACAAAAAGCACCAAGTTGTTAACCAACATTCAAGACAATCTTTAAGCTATAAATAACCTTATAAGAGTCATAGATAAAGGGTTTGAGCAACAAGTGAACGAAAGTGTTATGAGAGCACTAGATCTAAATTCATTTGACACAACACTTTCATTGTTAGCTTTTCTCATCTACCCTTCTATCTCTCCTTCAAACAAACATTAGCTCTGTAAGGTTCAAATAGTAGTAATAAAAAGTTTTCTCTAGTGTCATGTAATATTGAGCATAGATAAAGATGATTGAACCGCT